AACAACAGTTTCGCTGTGGGATCTGCTCTACTCCAAATACATCAGTGAGGAGAAGAGAAGGGAGCTTGTTCAACAGTACAAGGCTGGAACAATCACAGTAGAACGATTTTTGGAGATCATCCTGACCATCATTCAGCAGCACACAACAACAACCTCATCATCATCAGTTGTCAAATGTCCACCTCCTGTAACAACTGTGGACAGCAGCTCAACTAAAACTACCATCACTACAACCACCACAGAGACCACCAAAGTGGACAACTTCCATGGAATCAGAAAAGATGTCACTGCTACTGAGCTGCTGGAATCAAAAATCATTGATGAGAGCCTCTACAAAGACCTTACAGCTGGAAGAGTCACAGTGACAGAAGTCAGTGAAATGAACTCAGTGCGCAAGTACCTTGAAGGAACCAACAGCATTGCAGGAGTGTACCTTCAGTCCACCAAGGAGACTCTGAGTATCTATGAGGCCAAAAGCCGAAGTCTGCTGACTCCCGGTACCTCTCTGGTTCTGCTGGAGGCCCAAGCTGCCACCGGCTTTGTCATCGATCCGGTGAGGAACAAGAAGCTTTCTGTGGAGGAAGCTGTGGCTCAACGAGTGGTTGGCAGTGAGTGGAAAAACAAACTTCTGTCAGCAGAAAGAGCCGTTACAGGCTATAAAGATCCCTACACTGGAAACACAATCTCTCTGTTCCAGGCCTTGCAGAAGGACCTTATTGTGAAAGATCATGGAATTCGTCTCCTTGAAGCCCAGATTGCCACAGGAGGCATCATTGACCCAGTTCACAGTCACAGAGTTCCTGTACAGGTGGCGTACCAGAGAGGTTACTTTGATGAAGGAATGAATCAGATTTTATCTGACGCTGATGACGACACCAAGGGCTTCTTTGACCCCAACACTCAGGAGAACCTCACCTATCTCAAGTTGGTTGAGAGATGTATCACAGATCCCATCACAGGCCTTAGCCTACTCCCATTGAACAAGTGAAGTCTCTATTATTCTAATTACCTTAGTTATTTGTGCTTTTTGCTCTTAGCTAAAAAATGCTTTTTCAAGTTCTTAAAGAAATCTGTAGCGGAAAATGCACATGGTGAGCAAAAAATTAATTATTGCAAACTTTCTCTGTAAATATATGTCAATCAGTGGATATTTGGTTAAAATGTAAAGCCAAAATGCACGAGTCATTACACTGAAACACCAAACTAAAATTCAGTCATTATTTATCCCAAAATGAATGAACTGCAAATCTTTCACAAAATTTTGACTGTTAAAGAAAATTTACACAAAGGAACTGAAATGCTATCAGATGATTGAGATGCCAGATGTTTGCTGTGAAGAACACCTATACTGGTATTTTACAGTTTAAGTCAAAATATAAGTGACATAGCGCTCTCAGTCTGTTTGTTCTTACCTTATTCTGATCTTTGACAACACTCACAGTCTGAATTTGTCAAAATTGTTTTTCCTGATTTAATGTTGTTTCATGCTATTGTAGAATCTGGATTTGGTTGTTTTTACACTGTATCTGTAACTGGATTGGGTTCAGCTGAACCTGCTGTTAAGGTTTGAGGCTGGACAGATAAATGCTTTATTTTTGGGCTAATGGTCTTTCTTACTGAAATCTGTTGTTTCATAAGTAAGTCAAATGTGAATGTAGTTTAATTGGGCCCTCTTTGACCATTACTGGAACACAGTCAAGCTGATTTTTCTTTTCTTTCTCTGCCATGGAGCTTAATAAAAAATGTGAGATGAATATAATCATTTGTTCTATTTGTTTTGTTTGAATGACAGTGTTTTGGACTAATCACACTGGTGCAACACACACTGAACAACAATGTCCTGGTTAAAGAGTCCATCCATTAGCTGGGAAACTTTTAGAGCTGTTTAAACACCCATAGCACCTTCAGTTTAGCAATAAAGCAAATCAAATGTGCATGTTTGCTGTTTCTGTTAAGAATTTGAGATGGGTCGGACTACAGACCATGCTAGAAAATTTAAACTCTGACTTTTCTCTTAGAATTCTGACTTCAAAGTTTAAGAAAAATCTGGAATTGTGAAGGGAAAAAGTGGGAACTCTGAAATAAATGTGTTCAGTGGCATTAATCTTCTGCACAGGCCCCATTTGGTCATTCAGTACTCGACTACAAAGAAAGACAAAGACTCCCTTTATTGTAGTGACAAACTGAATCTTTATTTCAGATTTAAAATAATTCTTGATGAATTATTATTGTTAGTTATTTCAGTTGTTGCTGATTTTTGTAGTACAAAAAAAAAAGTAGAAAAAAAGGCAAACGTTATACCCAAAGACTTTCTAATATATACAAATTATTGTCACTGTAGCTTTGCGATCAAGATGATCTTTATAAATGCATCCAGCGAGTCGCGCTGTGTTACCAGTACTACTAGGAACTGGTGTGTTTCAAAATAACCAGAGCTTCTGAACTCATTGGGACGGTGTTATTAAACAGGTGTTCTCACGAACTGTTGTTTTCTGCTTCCAAGCAAGTGGTTGTAAATGAAGAGTCAAGTTTGAACCAAATGTACACATGTAAAACATTTACAAAAGAACCTGAGGGTACAGCACCCACATGACTTCATATCAGGACATGTACGTCCGTCTTGTGAATTTGTTGTGTGATTTTTGGAGCTACTCCAGTTTGTCCAGCAGCTGGCGAATGTCTTCTTGGCCTCGGTAAATTCTCTTCACTCCTCTCGGAAGGTAGCGGCACGATGAAAGGTTGAGGTAGTCCAGAGCGGTCATCTGTCCGACGACTGACCTGTGAAATAAAGTGTAGATGCAACGCTGAGCAGGAATAACAGATGTGGGTGTTTGGTTATTGCTTTGAAGGCTGCACTGTGAATCTAGATGAATGGGTTAGTGAGGTATGTTGCGTTACAGCAGGTAAACTGCCTCGCATTGCCATGGCAACCTGCATGTACAGTCGTCCTCAGATGTATTCATCCCTTTCCATTAAAGAAAAGGCAAAACTCACAACAGTCACTCAGATAACTGGAAACTGAAAAAAGTAATAATATATAAAAATTTGCTAAATTATAATTTAGTGAAATAAGACATTGCTTTTGAATTGTGGTTGAAAAGAATAATTTAAAAAATAAATAAATAAACTGTCTGAGCCCTTTGCTGATGAGCAGTGGTCCAGAATACCTGTCAACAGGTGCAGAAGTCTGACTGAGAGTTACAGGAAACACCTGATGGCAGTGATTGGCTCAAAGGGTTGTTCAACTAGATACTAGTTCACAGGTCCCATCATGCTGGTTTGTTTGTTTGTGTGTGTGTTTTTTTTTTTTTTAATATTTCTGTTGAACCACAATTCCAAAGTAACGTCATGATGTTCATTACATTTTTATTTATTTTTACTTTTGTCAATTTCAACTTATTTCAGCCTTTTTTTTCCTTCTTTAGTGGGAGGGTATAAATACATGTGAGGACGACTGTATTCTGTTGGCGATGCAGAAAATTCATAAATAAGTTTTAATGTTTGGTCCTAATTTGCTGTTTCACCCTGCTGGTACTGCAGCTTATAGAACACAGAAAACCGATTGGTCTGTTGGTATTTATCACAGAGAATATTCAAGCAGTAACATTCATTTTCATTTGTCCAAAAACTGACGTGATTTCCTCGTCTCCTTCATCATGGGACAGCGTCAGACCTAAATGCTGAGTATCAGGTTTAAATGAGTGAAGTTTAGCAGCTGTCATGGTAGAAATACAAAAAGCTCGCTCAAAGGGGATCCAGGGAATCCTTGGGCTTGTTGGGTTTTTATTTTTGTGGGGTCAAAACACAACTTAAAATCTCCATAAATAATAATGCCGGATGGTTTTAGTCTTAACTTTTATTTTAGTTCAGTTCCTTAATTTATAATACTGCAGAATCTTTGATTACATTGATTAGGTTGCTCTCTATAACTTATGATACTGCAGGGTTCAGCCTTATTGTCTATTATAGGCAGGTAAAGTACTATTTAATTTATTATCTGCAAAGTTTTAACTCCTAATATGTAAATTACTCCGGTACAATCACACTGAAGGGTTTGAATTTTATCTTGTTTAGTTTAATTCGTCACACCAATCATGATCTTTTTACTGGAAAGCACTTTGTTGTTGTGAATGCGCTTTATAAAAAATAGTGACTTCACCAGAATTAAGAGCTGAGAGCGCACCGAGCGGTGACATAAATATATTAACTTGCTTTCCTCTTTTGCAGTAGTAGCGTTTTGTTGCTGTCATAAAGGTTTATCTTTATAGCTCTCCGTTATAGCAACCTGTTCCTGTCTACCGAAGCAGGCAGCATGCCATCGGTCCACTTAGTGCAGATATAGACGCGTTAATGCCCCTCATAATGCCACTTAGAGTTTATAAAAAAAAATCTAGTTCACGAGAAAGTTGTTCACACATTTTCCTTGATGGAGGTTTAGTTGAGCCAGTTCACACAAAACAAGAAAGCCTGGTTCTGTCACACCTGCTTTCCAGTGCAGCCCTCTCATCTCATGCTTGCTGTCTTATGTAGTAGTTCACTGGATTATCTGGTAGAGTTAAAGCTGCACCGACTACCTGAGGGCCTGAGGAGTGATCCTGGTCCCGCTGAGGTTGAGCGAACGCAGCGTGTCCGCCTCCGTCGCCTGAGCGAGGTAGCTCATCGCCAGCTCCAAGTCGTCCTCCGGGAAGAGCTGGTTGGCGATATCGAGCTGCTGCAGCGTCTGACTCCACTTCTGGGTCACCATGTGAAGGCCCTTCTTGGGCGACAAACCAATGTGGCTGCTGAAATACTGACCCCAGAACAGACACTCGAGCTCTGAAAAATCCAAGGCAGAAAACGAAAGCAGCATTAACTAACTCGAACCATTAAAGTGCTTAAGATGTGTTCGTGTACAATCACAGTACGTATTTCTGTGGCTTTGTTTTATTTTTAGCAAATTTATAAAGCTTTTCATTATGTTCAACAAATTAGATTCCATTTTAAGTAATATTTAAGTAGCTAAATAATCAAAAATTCTGAAAACGTTGAGTATAAATCTTATGATTTATTCGTACCCAGGCAGGGTAGCAGTGCCAGACCAGACGGTGTGATCCTCGAACAGCCTCGCAGGTCGAGCACTCGCAGCCGGCTGGAGCCAAACAGAATGTCCAGCAGGTCTTTGTCGGTCATGTAGGAGTAAGATGTGGTGGCGATGCAGAGTTCCTCCAGCAGCGGGAAGCCCGCTGTTAAATCAGCGGCGTTACGCATCGTCTTGTGCAGAGGTCTGACGTTCAGCATCCGGAAAGTCTGACGGGAAAGAAGCTGAATGGGTGAATAGTCTTCACACGAAAAAATAATCAATGCATAAGTAGATGATATGTGCAAAAACATCAGTATAAGTAAATGTTTATTATATTTAGCCAGTGATAAAGCTAACATTTGTAAATGCCTTGTTTTGTTTCTACCAACACTCCAGAACCCAAAGACCAAAGATATATGTGAAGGAAAAACCTCAAATCCTCGTTGAAAAGAAGCTAAATTTTACGTGAAATTAACTGATCTAACACTTATTAAATGTTTGTCAACTAATCTTCTAATTATTTCATCTGTAAGACAAACATTAGAGCAGAAAATAATCATTAATTGGTCCAAAAAAAACATTTGTCAATTAATCTTCTAATTATTTCATCTCTATTATGTACATTAGAGCAGAATGAAACTCCAGCACCAGATAAAACATGAACTTACAATTATCAGTGCAGTTTTGTCCAATTTGTCTGCAGCAAACTGTCTGAATATTTAGCAGCTTGACTGGACGTGTACACAGATATGGACGATGTGACTTGTAGATGTTTGCAGCTAAATTATGAGTAGAAGGAATTCCACTGTCAGATATCTGAGTAATCATAACGTTAGTTTATCTTTAATTCTTTTCAATTCATATCTACATTGTTATTTTTTAGATATCTGAAGTTTGAACAAGTCAGAGAGATGTAGATAGAAAGTGTAATTACAGATACCTGGATTCTGAGTTACGTCAGAACAGGCAGCCTGCTTTCCAGACATAACGTGGCACCGCAACATTAACCGACAAGCTGTTTGATCACCGTGTCAGAGCAGCCTGAGGCCAAAATTCTAGTAAAATTCCACCACAAGCCTCTGTAGCGTGATGCTCTCGCTCTCCATGAACTCCTCGCTGACGAGTTTTTTCTACTTCACGGCATTTTCTAATAACGTTGTCCACCACTGGAGCCATCAGTACTCAAGTTAAAACTGTTCAAATGCTTTGCTGGACTGATGTCAAATGGGAAACCTCGTAGGAGCAGCACAATAATTCAGACTAATCACGAGGACGGTTGAAGCTTAATTTACAGATTTACTGTCTTTTTCACAAGTTGCAGTGTCGCTACGACTTCTTAAAACTACGATATCTGTGAGTTTAGGTTCTGAATAGTCAAACTCAGTTATTAAATGTTACAACGACCTGCTGTGTTGGCCTAAAAGTAGAAAAGAGAACACCTTTGTTTTACCTTGAGTTTCGGGCAGGATATCTGCAGAGCCTGGATGCAAACAGGAAGTTCACAGTCTTTACTGTCAAGCTTGGTGTTGACCTCCAGCAGCTCCAGATCCGGACAGCATCCCCTCTGAAATACAACAATCAGGTTCATGCGTGGACTTGACTGTGTGTTACATAGACGTTAAATAAAGACAGAGAGAGAAGCAGCTCACGGTGATCGCAGTCAGAAGTCTGTCGTTCTTCATTCCATGAGTGAACAGCATCTGCCTGATCTGGCCGCCGTGATCGTCAAGGTAGTCCAGGAGTCCTTCCACCTGAAACTGTAGCACAAACACACAAATATAACAAATTCTACAAAGATCCTGAGTGTGCTGAATGCTTTGACAGTATCTAGACATAATTTAGAGATCCTCTCCTGTCCTTTATCAGAATCAGTTTTATTGCCAAGTAGGTTTTCACATACGAAGAATCTGATGTGTGGATGCATAAAAGTAGAGGGATAACAGAATTTAAAAAGCAAACATTACAGGTCAAATCAACAGCAAGCGCAACAAGTATAAAGTATTATAAAAAATACTAAAAGTAGCAGCAGTAATGAACAATGTGCAGGCAAATTATTCACCAGATTACACAGTATGACGTCTAAAGGACCACACGAAAGAAAAGAGAGGGATCTCTAAGTATTTCTTTCAGATCCTCTTCAGATATATTTAAGACAGTCTGCTTGAAGTAATAGTTGTCGTCTGAAGTTTTTCTTCGTAAAACTTGGTTTGTAATCTGCTCTCCCTCATTTAAAAAAAAAAATCCCCAAAACTAGGAATATAGCATTATTTATTCACTCCAAATTTCTAGTGGAAAACTCTGCACACATGGCACATTGTTTTGCACGATAAAGTGTGAACAATAAGCAAAAAGACATTTACTCATGTAGGAGAACTTGAACATGGAACTAACCACCGATCTGTGCGTTACATTATCTGTGGAAGTGGAAACTGAACTGGCCTCTGTACCTCTGAATACTGCAGGTTTAGGCTGTGCAGAGAGCGGCTGTGCAGACCGAGGCTCTGGAAGGCCTTCGCTGTCACTCCCGTGCAGTAGGAGAGTTTCAGGGAGCGAAGGTGAGGGCAGAACTGTGAAACTGTCTGTTTTTGACAACAAACCAAACAGAAAAAAAAAACACTGTAAGTGCAAATATTCACTGATAAAAACAAATTTGATTCACAGGATATTTTTTAAATGTGCAGCCTGTAAATATCAAAGTCAAAATGAGAAACGCTGCAAGTCTTACTTTAAATCAATACATTTTTTTGACTGCAAGTTCTCGAAAATATCAAGAAATGCCAAATAAAGTTGCCAAAGCAGTTTATCTGCAAGCGTCAAAAAACAAAGTCTTTTTCAATTATGTGGCCAAAAAAAAACTTCATATCTCCATATCTGAGAAACAAACATGTGTCTGACATTTTGGAGAGAATTTATGAAATGATTATTTACGTAGTTGCTTGATTGATTTTCTGTTAATCTGCTAGTCACTTTCCTTTAAGAGCTCAATAAAAGTAGCGTCTGTACGTTACCTCTAATGCAAAGTCAACATTCTTTGTCCAGTGACACAAAGAGAAATCTCTGAGCTGGGAGAATCTAGAAAACAAGAAGAACTGTTTAGAATTTAATTATCAAAACGATATAAAAGTGGCAGGCCATTTTATTTCTACATGTTTATATACATGTACATTGGTTTGTGTGTGTATACAACATGTAAACATAAAAATGTAGAAATATCTGAGTGTACTGGAGCTGCAACTAACCCTGATGTTCATTGTCGAAATGAATATAATTTGTTTATTATTTTCTCGATTAATTAATTAGTTGTTTGTTCTATAAAATGTCACAAAAATGTCGATCAGTGTTTCCTAAAGCCTGAAATGGTAAATGTCTGGTTTGTCCACAAGGCAGAGACATTCAGTTCACGGAGGAGGAAAGACGCCAGAAAATATTCACATTTAAGACGCTCTAATCAAAGAATTTTCACTTTTTCTTCTTAAAAAAGTTTAACAGCAGAAAACTAACGGATTCATTTTTGCAGCTGTAAACGCATAAATGCAGAATGCTGTCACTTCAACGGACCGATGAGGCGCCGATGTTCCAGATCCTACATCTGAGAAGAGCTTTAATCCTGCAGTAACACAAACAAGCGTCCTTGTCGGAGGTAATAACACAGACCTGTGTGCTGCCAGCCAGCTTACAGTGTCCTTGATCTTGCGCTCTGTTTTGGGCAGCTGGGTCCTCCCCGGTGCGATCCAGCAGTGACCCACGGTCACTTTACGCCACAGAACCGGGCTGGAGGCGGCAGCGTTCCACAGACGACACACTCTGCCCACTCTGCACAGAAAAACAGCGCAGCACATTTATCTGTAGCTGAAACCAGCATCATGACTCTGAAGTTATGAATCACAAACAATCCTTCTTGTCTTTTAAATCCAGCTCAACTAGAACTTCAAAAAGGGCGAAATTTAGTGGATTCAGTTTCTCCTGTAGAGTGAAAACGTTTGTGTTCAGGGCTGCTGTAACTGATATTAAAGCGCCACCTTGTGGTCTGTACATGTGATGACATTCTTTACTATTATCTGAAAGTTTCAACAAAAATGAAACACGTATTTGCAGCCTCAATCATAAAGTAGCGCATGTACACAGATCCACACCTAAAATAATGACGCTTAATGAAATCTGCTTCAAGTCTTAAATAGGACGACGTCTGTCTGCAAATGTTTTGATATTTTTTAAATTATAGTTTACTTAAAATCTCCAAATTGGTTTAAATGTAATATTTTGTTATTCTCTGCTTAACAGCGGAAACAACAAACTTACATCTGAACAATAATATCAGTATAATTTGCTGTCCAGTCTGTTTTCAGGTCTGTTTTGATCCTACTGGTATTTATTACAGCTAATATTCAATCAGTAATGTTCATTTTGCTTTAATTTGGCCAAAAATTATAAACAGAATTAATATCATAATATAAATATAAGTTGCAATATTCCTTTTCCCAATAGTTTGTGCAAAATGAGGTTCAGTATTTTGTGTAACATTAAATTTTCAAGTGCAAAAATTCACTTTCATTAGTAATGTAATGTGCAATATTTCATTTTTCATGTGCAATATTTCATTTCCTCTACAATATTTCATTATCATGTGAGATATTACCTCAGTATCACTGCCAGCATTACTGTTTCTATTCTAGTTTTGTTTTAGTTTATTTGTCATACTTATGTAATTTAGTCTTTCTCTGAGTAATATTTGGCACAAGAATTTCCTACAAGATGAACTAAGATTGACCTCACTGACATCAGATCAAACATACGTACGGTATAATACCTGCACAGAAATGGTACAGCTCCTTCCTGAATGACCACCATCTGAAATATGCTGATGAGCACCTCCTCAGGCAGACTCTGGCTCCATCTCTGGTCACCTTCTGCCTGAGCCACAAACAAATCCACGTCCTCTTCTTCCTTGGTAACTGGTTTATTTTCCAGTTTCGGTTTGGCACGGACTGTCTTTTTTTTCTTAACTTGTTTGGCTTTTAACTTTCCCTTCGCTGCCTTCTTCTTCTTTTTGCCGCCCTTCTTTTTGGGCATCCAGGCCGAGCCGTCGTACTGAGAAGTGCTGCTCGATATAACGAGAAGCATATCTTCCCCTTGATGGACAGTGTAACCGAGCGGGGCAGGTCTGGAGACTCGGGCCTTTTTTGTCTTTTTTGCTTTTGTGTCTCTGGTCCTTTTTAAAGATGCCTTCTTTGGCTTTGGTCCATCTGCTCCCTGACCCGATGGTGCACTGTCCTCTTTCCTGTCGCTCTGGGCTGAAGCTTCTGCTTCAGAGGCATCCATTGTTGCTGCTATGTTGTCTTTACTACGATATTAGGTCCAAGGGAATCACACACCAGCATGGCACGATCATTAGCATCTGAAAAGACAGTCAGAGTCTGTGTGAGTGATGTAAATATACATGGTGATAGAGGGGAAGTAAACACAAGAGAATATAACATGGCATCGCAAAACTTGTTCCTTCCCCAGAATTATAACTTTATTAAAATGTTAGGTAATTAAGGGTGTCATAAAGTGTCTATAAATACAGACTTTTGTGTGTGTTAACTATAGATTGTACACAAAAGCACAGATTTCTCAGCAAGTCAGAGCTACACAAATTAGGTACAATATCAGCTGTACATTCTGTAGCAAGAATCCTGCACCAACAAGTCAAATATCTGCAAATAACTACTCATTTTAAGGTTGCAAATTAGTGGTTTGATTGTTTTTTAAAAAACAAAATTGTGAATAATTTATTCACTTGTGTAAAGAGTCTTGTTTTGACTGTATGACTTTTTTTTCTATTTTATGCTGCACCAGTTAAATTCGTAGTAAGAGTACTAAAAACAGGTAATTCTGCTTCGACAATGTTTTTCGAATGCATCTGTAGTTCTCAGATTTTAGTTATGTAAGGATCTGTGTGCTATCAATACTAATTTTGCTGGAAAAACCTCATCCGTGGTTTGAAAGTCCAGTCTGAGAGAAAAAACTAAATCGTTTTATGTTTACTATCAGTAAGCTGCGTGCGCATCCTCGATTGTTTGTAAACGGAAGAGCACACAGTCACACTTATCCAGCATTATTACCTGACCTGCAAATTTCTTGTAACTGATAAAATAGACTACACAATCATCAGTGCGCACGATAAAATAACGTTTCATTACAGATTAAGCGTTTAGCCTTCAAACATCAACAATTAACGTTACCTGCTGCTCGGTAAACTAAGCTAACGTTACCTTACAGTTAACTAAGCTAATTCACAAGCCGCCATGCAGCGTAGCGTAACAGAACACATTATTTAAGATATTATATCAACAGTATTATTGACAAAAATGATTGCTAGTATTTTAAAATGCTGTTTTTTTCACTTTACCTGCAGCTACTTCATGAATAACACGGGTAGCTCCATCCTGTAGCGGCAGACCCACAATGCACTTCGCGTCTCCACGGTGATTGGCTGAAATCTCGACAACCGCCCGCCTTTGGTGAAGCTGTCCAATCAGCGAGCAGCCTGCTGGTTTCGCTCCTCCCCTTTGTGTTCGTGAGGTTGAGAAGGAGCGAATGCAGGAGTTTCGGTGTTTGTAGTTTCTGGGTAAGAAGTTCTGCTTTTTAAATGCTTCTTTTACTGCTTGTACTTTTGAAAGTATTTGTAAATGTTACCGCGCGCCGCACAGCTTCTCTGTTTGTGTATTATTGCTGATTAGTATTACTGCCAGTAAAGTTTGTGCTAACAGGAGCTCACAAGGCTGATTAGCATTAGCATTAGCATGCAGAGGTGGTGCAGCATTAGCTCTCATTTACAGATGTAGCTTTAATGCTTTTGGGATTTGGAAGTTCCTGTTTATATTTAGAGAGAGTAATCCACAGGAATCCTCTTGAATTGCTTTAAGTATCAAACTTTTAGGTTTTATTCTTGCATTCTAGGTGTGATTTTAGGTGTTACTCTTGCATTTTTGGTGTGACTCTTGCATGTGCACTGCTAGTAGCACATATTCAGGGTTTGTGGGAGGAAGGTGGGATTTTCTGCAAAGCCTGGAGCCTCATCTCCCACCAGGTGGCACAAAATAACACACTGATATCCCCAGTTTATAATGCATATTTTGCTAAACCAGTGCAGTTAACACATTTAACCCCAACCTTTGTAATGATCAGGTATCATTTGAGCTGTTTCGACTCAGTGATTTAACTTTATGGCTGTGGTTTGTGATGCTGTTGTTATAATAGTGACTTTATTTATATTACGTTAATGGGCAAGAAATTTGTAGTGCTGCTAAATGCAGTAGATTAAAGATTTTCCTCTGTCTCTTTTCAACAGCACACGATGGAGGAGCGTCAAGATTTTTCTCTCTGTGGGAAAGAAGTTGTTACTGAAGCGAATCTGAGTAAGTCTGAATGCAGTGAAAGTAAACAGTCAGTGATTCCCAACCAGGAGTATTTGTACCCCAGAGTTTACTCATGCAGTTGCCACAGGGTGCATGGAAAGATTTGCTCAACTCATCTGAAAGCAAAACAGAAATATCAGTTTAAACTGAAGCATTAAGTGAACCTGAGCAGGTTTGAGAAGAAAAGTTGACAATCAAATGAAAGTAATGGATCAGCTGTAGAGACAAACAGCTAAAAGGAATGCACAAATCAATTAGAATACATAAGTAAAGGGTGTAAAGGTGAAATAGTAAATAATTGATTGAAATACCTTTGTAAAGATGTACATAAACCGTTTAAAAAGCCAGCTAAGGCCTCGTCCACACTAATAAAGATTAATGTTTCCTCTGAACCACTGTTCCAAATGCAAACAGCTTTTAGGTCCCTAAAGTGGATTTTTTAAAACACCTTGTCAAATAATGTGTAAATAGAGAGTTTGGGGAACTCTGATGTCACATCTCCAGTCACACATGCTCACTGCTGCTTTGTGTAATAAACACGTGTCTGAAACATCAACAAAAACAACAGCAGATATACGTTTGCTGGATTCTTCGTGTTGGATTAGCAGTCACTGTTACGAGTTCAAAACTTCCCAGTATGACCTGGTTCACCACATTTGTAGTTGTGTTGTTGTTTTTAACAGAGGGGGGAGGTATTTGTCTCGAAAAGTGTGTACTATTAATGAGGACAAGGGCTAAAATAACGAATAAATAGTTTCAAGAATTTCCTTTGAGATTAATACAGTTTTTATCTTATCTCTTAAATTATTACCCCAAACTAAAACTATGTCAGATATTGTTTAAATGGTTGGCTGGCAGTATGGATTAACAAAGCTGAAAGCAGTGGATAAATGCTAATATATGTAGCTTCAACTAGTGACTAAATAGCTCCACACAAATTGACATTCCCATTCACCATTCATCAATGTAAGAAAAATCTCTGTTCGTACACCAAGTGCAATGTCCCAGTTGTTTTTTATTTTTTATTTCATATTCATATTTTTTATTTTATATTCTATTTTTTTCTAGTCTTCATCCCTTCCCTTTAGTCGTGTAAATACCCCTCCCCTCGTGAACTGTACAGTCTTTTAACATTTGTATACTTTGTCTTGTGCACTTTTTGTCCTGTTGTTTTGCACTGCCTACGAGAGTTGCTAACTCAAATTTCGTTGTGCTTCTCGTACAATGGCAATAAAGAGATTCTGATTCTTATTCTGATCTTTTTTTTTTGAGGGACAGCTGGCCAAGAAGGGACATTATTATAAAGTTTGAAAAAAAGCACGCATGATAGCAGTTGACAGAAGAAGAAAGTAAAGCATATTAAGTTTTATTTAAGATCCTATTTCAGGATTATTATTGTCAGCCACTGATTTAAGTCAACATCAGAGATAATTCTGCATCTAACGACTGTACTACTGCTCAGTTCATACCAAACGTCTTGCCTGTTTGTCAGACGTTACTTTTCTAACCCCTTCTCTGTTTTCCAGGAGATGAGTACTACTGGAAGCTGGTTGCAGACTTCATCGGTCCTCAGTCAGCAGAAGGACTCGAGCTCCAAGAGCGACCGTGTAGGAACAGACTTTTGATTCAAGTCGGACTCATGAGGGAGGACAACAACTTCCCCTGGATCGCCATCCTGAACTGGCTCAAGAAAATCTTCCCGTCGCATCACTCGACCGACTTCCGTCGTTTGATTGAAAGAGGCATCGCGACGACGCTGAGTCTGGGAAGCTACGCCAGGCTGAGCTTCCTGGAGTCGGACATCAACTTTAACTTTGTCGGGCCGATTTGCGACAGCATCGGCGTGGAGCGGCAGCACCTTCTGGAGATGAGGGACTTTTCAGAACGAGCTCAGTCCCTCGAAGTCACAAACGGCTTGATTCTGGAGTTGTGCAACTTTGCCGCCAGGGAGAAAATCGCCGCCGTCGTTCTCGTTACGTGGCTCAGAAACTTCAACCATGAGTTTTGCAAGAACGGGGACATTCAGAAAGCCTATAAAGTCCTGAGGGGAAAGATCAAAAAGTTAAAAATGTGTTATCGCAATTATGAGACAAGGAGTTACAGGAGGAACGCCGCGATGGAAAACCTGCTTCAGAGTCCGTTTGAGCTGGTCTGCAAAAAAACACCGAAATTTATTGTGAAGAAACGCGTGAGGAGAGATGACAACAATTCTGAAAAATATTCAATTAAGGAGGAACCTGAGAGCTGGGAGATAACGGAGACGTCTGAGGTGATCAGAGAAGTCGTGAGAAAGAAACCAAAGAAAGAACCTGTCGCTGCAGATTGTGGAAACGAGGATGTGAACGCTGGAGAACCTCAGACTCTGCTCGACATTGCGATGACGTCAGTGCAAAAGCTGTCGAGTGTTTACGGCGGGAAAACCGCAGCATGCAAACAGGTTTCTCTGGACCTGCTCAGAAATCAGTACGCTCTGACCTGCAAGGAGCATCCGGCGCTGGCAGACTTCGAGAAGAAACTCGACTCGCTGGGCGACGACATTTCACTCGCTTCTCCCGTCGTGTTTTTAAACCACAATGCCAACTTCCTGGTTGACGTGCACGACGCCATCGAGCAGCAGATCATGTGCTTCGAAAAGGAGATCGTTCTGTCGGCGGGGGAGAAACTGGGTCGCGATAAGCTTCAGAAATTCAAGAACTTTGTGAATTTGCCAGAAAGCGCCACGTCGCGCTACATCCACACGGCCTGCGACATCCTCAGCCCTCGCTCCCCCAACAGGCAGAGCTACAGGAAGCACTGGGTGGCTTTCTGCGCCGAGAAGAAAAACCCGTCCAAACTCAGAGGGAATCAGCCGAACCAGTTCTACAGCTACTTCGAAGCTGCAGCGGGTCTCATTCACCATCACAAAGAGATCGCGCTCTTCCTGTCCGATCTGCTGTCGCTAAACAACGACGAATGTCCGAACGTTATTCTGGAAAGCGTCGTGGCCGACGCCAACGATTCTGTGATTCAAAGCTTCGTGTGCGTTCTTGCTATTGTTTACTGCAAAATCCTCGGACCGTTTTGGCAGCTGCTGATGAGCGACGGAGAATACTCGCTGTTCGGTCAGAACATCCTCGATCTCTACCAGAAGTTCTTGGATTGGTCCAAAGATCCCTCCACTCTGCTGGAACCAGAGGAGGCCACGAATGTTTTCCTGCAGTTGCCGGTGCAGGAGAAAGTGTTTGAGGGAGTGTTTCACTACTGTGGCCAGTGGCACACAAACAGAGATCTGATCAGAGCCTGTCTGAAGAGACTGATAAAGGTGATTGCCTCCGTTACTGAGAAACACCTGAACGATTTTCTACCAGGAGGGAAGTTTTCTCAAGTCCCTTCCACGGATTTGAGCTCGCAGTTGGTCAGCTGCACGTTCTCCATCTTGATGGCAGAATATCCCTTCGTCAGCTCGCCTTCACCCTCCAAGAAAAAACAAACCTTGTCATCGGATAGTTCTCAGGATGATGAAGATCGATCTGATTCATCCGACGACGACTTCGATGATTCGTCCATCGTGCAAAGTAAAAGGAGCATCAAAGAAGAATCCAGTCCACAGATGAAGAAAGCTCACAGCAGTCGAAGGCTCCGCCAAGAAGAGCGCGAGGAGATCATGGATCAGGAATACATCGTGGCGATGGTGAGGAGGAACGGAGGTCCGTGCAAAACGAAGCAGGACGTCGATAAGATGATGCTGCGCTTCGATGGGAAGTCCCGAGCCGAGAGGAGAGAAGCGGCTCGCTGCGAGATTCTGTACCAGAAAATGATTCTGAACAACACAAACCCAAACCTGGAGGGAGTTATGCTCAACGCCACGCAGATGGTGCTGAAGCTGAAGCTCGCTCTGCCTCGCGTTAAACCGGGATACTCTCTTGTTTGGGCGCCAAGAAAGACAAAAATAAAACCCGCGATCAAAGACGCGAACGCTGCAGCTGTTCAGAGCGAAAGCAGCACGTCGGAGCTTAAACCGTGTGACGTTCAGGAGCAGAAGGCAGGAGAAGGACATCTGAACACATGACTTTAAATATCTGCGTCTCCGGAGCATGTTCTTATGGAGCATTTTGGAGTTTTTTATCAGAAAAACTCAATTTAAACACTGGAGTTTATGAAAACATGCTCAAATTTGGGGGGGAAAAAAGGGCAGTTTTTTGACTTCTAGAAAGAGTTAAAAGCTCTGACTTCTGACATTTGACTCTGATGACTGATCAGCTGTTTCTTTCGTCTCTTTATGGTCATCATGGATTTTTACGTGCATTTTCAGGTATTGCATTAGAAACGGTTGGAAAGGGACAAATTTAGAAATAAAAAAACTGTTAATTTCACAAAAACAGCATCATGACAAATCCGACTCTTTGGTTATCAGCATGACTCATATTCGCTGTGTGTCCATAATGTGTGTTTTTTTATGTGCATTTTGAAGCATCGCATGAGCAGAAGTCAAAGGAAACCTCCCCGTATTTGCAAAAAAAAAAAATGTTCATATGTTTACTTGAGACTGTTTTTGGCTTCTTCTAAAAAAAATTTAGCTTAAGTGGAGGTGGAGACGTTTTTTTGGATAAGTAATATTAATTATTTAAAAACATGAATAGAAACAGCCAAATTTCACAGTAAATGAAAGTGTCGCTGCTTGCTTTAGGTGGTTTTTGATTTGTTCTAGAGACACATTTCTGCGGTAATTTAACCGACGTTTAATTTGATCGGCTGTTTGTTTCGTTGTTTTTGCCTCACGAGAACATAAAACGTGACCGCTGCCAGCTGACATAAAATAATAATCACAGTTTTCCTGAATTCCTGATCAATTTCCTCCGTTTTTCCCCTCGTAGATGGACAAAGCATTGTTCGTCTCTTCGTTGGCAAACAGCTGGTTTAGCTTCCGCTCCGTTTATTACCGCTAACGTAGCCTACAGCGCCACCTTCTGACAACACAACTCAGCACAGTTTAGTAGGTGTTTAACCTAATTTTCATTGCGTCAGTTTACAACTTCTCTGCAAAAGTGGGCTTCAAATGCACTTTATGGCTATATAGAAACACAAAGAATGACCTCAGCTGTTCCTTACAGAGATAAAATAATGTTTGAAACGCCATCATGTGTGTGCAAAGAATGTTTTTGACTCCGTTAGTCGGAAAGACTGTTAGATTAGGATGTTTTCAATACGATTCTGTTCTTGTGTTTGTATTATGTTGGACCGTAGCTTCCTGTGAATGCTTTTTGTTACTAAAAAAAAAACAGTATTCTTGTTTTGTAGCCGTTACGATTTATAACAGCCACTGACTGTAAAGAACAAGTTAAATGAATCACTGTCAAATTAAATCGTACTTCGCGGTTGTGTAGAAAACGTCACACAACAACCTTGTGTTTGCCACATTTGAAGGGCGTCTGGTTGCGTCACCGGCAGCAGCAGAGTCGGCGAGTTCATGGTTATAAAAGCAGCTCAAGAAAACACAGATGACAAGAGCAGCTTGTTGGGGTCACTGGGCCGAATGTCACAGCGGTTCCTTTGTTCATTATGGTGCAAAAGAAGCTCACTGTCAGCTTTAAAGCATGGCGTCTAATTAGATCATAACACGGCGGGACGAAGATCAGTTGATGTTGTTCTACTGAAGACACAAATAATCTGGAAATATTTCAGCACAAGCAGCTGCTCGGTGACTGACTCAGACTTGGTTCAGATCTTTTTAAGGGAAATGCGTGTTTCTGAGATGCTGCGACAGCAACGATAAATAGAAGCAGAATGTTAGGTGAGTGTGTTTGTTTACACCTGAGACCTGCTTTGTGTTCTACAGAAAAACAAACTGACATCAGGTGAAGGTTTCATTTCAATATGGGGCAAATTATGAGCAGCGAACGTTTAGTTTCCAGCATTTTGTTTAGTTTTTATGCACCGATTTGTGACTTTTCTGCTTCAGTTTGTTTTGAAAATCTTTTTTTTTAGTCTTTTCATTTATATAAAGGAAAACACTTGATTCAGACACAAGGTGACAGTTTAACATGTGATGGAAAATACGTGAGTCTATTTACACTTTATGTAATAAAACAAGTGGTTTGGCACGGGCAAACAATTTAGTTTAAAAAACGAAACAGGGAAACTCTATAAAGGAAATGGTGAATTGATTTTATTTTTTTAAATGCAATTATAAACTGTCTGTGTGCTCACCTCATTTCATGTCTGTGGGAGTTTTATTTTTCGAGATAAACTGGGGCTGCAAGGTGGTTAGCATCGTCGCCTAGAAGGTCGCCGGTTTGCGTCCCAGTGAGGACACCCAGGATCTTTCTGCGTGGAGTCTCCATGTTCTCCCTGTGCAGCGTGGGTTCTCTCCGGGTTCTCCGGCTTCGTCCCACAGTCCACAAACATGTTGAGGTTAATTGGTGATTCTAAATTGTCCGTAGGTGTGAATGTGAGTGTGCTTGGTTGTCTGTCTCTAAGTGAAGCCCTGTGATAGACTGGTTACCTGTCCAGGTGAACCTGCCTTCACCCTGAGTCAGCTGGGATAGACTCCAGCCCCCCATAGTGAGGATTAAGGTGTACAGATGATGGATTGATGGATAATTAACCTGTAAAGTGGTGACTTTTGAGGATGAAATTACCAAAATTCCCAGGTCTAAAAACACGACATCCTCAAAATGCAGCTATAATACTTTAAAGAACTTATTCTAAGTAGCATGAAGTAACCTCTGCTCTCTGAAATGACACCTGAAGCTCTTGTACAAACTCTTGATGGATTGTCCGGATGAAACCTGCTTAGAAGAGTTCTGGAGACAAATTGCTGAACGATGTGAGACTGCAGCCACGAAAAAGGAACTGAATTCTAGATGGACACGGTGTAATGTTTTAAAGAAATGATATCTGAAGCAGAACAAAGACATTTTGACCTTAAAGTCTTACATACACTTGTGTAATTTATATTGTGGTTTTCTTATGAACTTTATCAACAAGTAAAAAAGCAGAACTGGTTTCATCAGGTTGAGGGTTACGTAGAAAAGCTCTTTAAACTGTACATGAGTTCTCGTTTACTTTTACATGGCTTTCACGCTTGTGTAAGCAAATGATGAAAGAAATATGACAGTTTGGCCTGCAGCAAAACACTGAACAACAAATAAATGAGAAATGTGTTTTGTTTTGTTTTTTTAAATAAGAAAAAAAGAAAATCTTGCAGGAAGCGTTAAAAAAAAAAGCACCTTTAAAAACCAAGAGATACTTCAATTAATAAAAAAATATGTGAAGATACTAAGAATAATGACAAATATCTGAATAAAATATATATTTAAAGCAGATTTAAATACAGTGTTATTGTGTACAGTCACACATTGCTAAAGAACAATTTACTATTTGTAAAAAAAAACCCCAAAACAAAACTAATTTTTGATGTAGATGCTATGTCCATTATTTTTTTTCACACTTACATTTTAATTAATGTTTTTCTTCTCTGTGTTTTTACAAGCCGTCTGTAGTTGATCAGAACTGGGAAAATCTGTAAAATAACAGCTGACAAAGAAAAAATTGCCATTTTTCAGTCTTTAATCTTCCATCCTATGTATGCTTTGTTTCAAATACTAAACAGTTACACTAGTGCATTGATTATGTCATACATTATAAAGTTTTATTTGTTTTTCTTTTTTAATAAACAACAAACAAATCAGTTAACATTGTTTTTTTTCCATGACTTTACTAAAACAAGGTAAAACACCAGAAACTTTTTAAAGTGTTATTTTTTGTTTGTTTAGTTTATTCATTTATTGTTGTTGTTGTTGTTGTTGTTTTTAAATTACAGTCAAAAACGGCGACAAAACAACAAAAATCATTTCTTACAGCGGTGCGTTCAAAGCACTCTTTTATTGTCCACTATTTTAATTACCAAACAACCGAAGCTGTGATTGATCCGTGAACGCCTCTCCATACCGCGTTCAGGCTCAGAGGACGGCGTAAAAATGAACTTTTGTGAAATAATATCGATCTCTCATCTTTTGTTTTCGACGACGCGAGAATCTGAGTTGAACAAAGATTACCTGAATGCTGTCAAGAGCGAATTTTTACCGTATTTCAACAGAATACTGCTGAAAGCGAGTTTAAAGGCGTAAAAGCGGCGTTTTAATGTGTGATGCGTGAAATACAGTCGATTTATGACAGTTTCGTTGCACTATACTTATTTGTTATGTAATAACAGAATTTAAAAATATATATCTATAAATTTGAAAAGCTTAAATACACAAGTTTTGACTTTTGAAAAAACCAGGAGCTATGAAGTTCCGAGGGTCCGTGAAGGCAGCCGGAGGGGCGGGAACTTTGCGTGGCGTCACCTCCGCCATTGTGGTTCTCGTAGCGGCGTGAAGCGGCGGCACACTGTCGGTGTTCGGACCCGAACAAGGTCCAGCTGTTCGCCGGCGTCTCGTCATCCTCCGGACCGGGCTCGGAGCCACCATGTCGGCCGGTTGGTGGAGCAGCGCCGCGGTCACCCACGGCCTCATGGCGCTGTTCGCGATGGGCTCCTGGGTTTCCGTCAACAGTCTGTGGGTCGAGCTGCCGGTGGTCGTCAACGTGCTGCCCGAAGGTCAGTGTCCGGAGCGCCGAGGACTGAAGCCGGTCACCTGCTCTGACCTTTCCTCCGCTAAAAACCATCCGTTTATCATTTCAGAGCGGCACGGTTTGAATTTATTATATTAATTATTGGGGTTTAATTAGCTTCAGTGCTCAATCAGGCGATGCTAGCTGGTTTCAACAATGTTAGCAAAGTGTTCCTTCAACTTAAAACTAACTTTATACGAGTTTATATATTGAACTGCTTTACGAAATAAAAGCACGTTATTATTTATTCTTTCTAGTGGTGGGATTTAAACTACATTTAACTATTTATTGACAACTAAAATGTACTTTAAGTCAATTTTATTAATTATTTAAAATAAATTAAATATTGCAGCTCATACTGGACTGCATTTAATCCTCTAATTTGTGCTGAAATTAACCTCAGATTAAGGGATAGAAACTAGAAAACGTGTTGTTCTGCCACATTTTCATGATGTAAAAACCCGGTTGAATATTTTGGGTAAAGCTTTTTAACAGTTTCTGAAACCAGCTGTCACATTTATGAGACTTGTGTTAAACTTTTTCCACATGTAGACCAGCTAAAGGTATGATAACAGAAGCCTTTATTAATTCCACAGTAGGGAAATGTACTACAAAAATAAAAAATAAACCAAGCTGTACACAAGTCCTTATGGTAGAAAACACAGTATTGCCCAGATTTAGACCAGGTCCTTTATATAGAGACGGGTAAAATCTGGACTACATGATGCCAAACGATCTAAGGAGTCTTTAAAACACAGTTTCCAACATTTATTCTATTTGTTAAAATGCAAAAAAGGAGGTTTTTGCTGTATTTTCTCCCCCACACATCTTGACAACATTATGCAGCCACAAATCCAAACCCACTGTAAAAAATTTGATCAAATCTGGACTGGATTTTTCTGCAGTAGCCTTAAAACAGAGTTTCTGATTGTGCAGCTTCTGTTTTATTTGCAAAAATGCAAACAATTAGATTCCTGGATTGTGCCAGAGGGGGAAGCAAATCTTCAGCACACAGTCTCTGATTTGTGAAACCTTTTATTCTCTTTGGGAAAATGCAAAAGGGGAGATTTTGCAGTCTTCAAATTTCAGTTGTCAAACCTTTATTCGTTTAAATGCAAAAGTTAAGATTTCAATGCTTTTATAAATTAGTTTCTTACATGTGCTGTGTCTTTAAAAACCCAGTTTTGATTTGTGATAATGCAAAATATGGTTCCTACGTCTTTTGCATTTTGACCACACTAGAGGTTTACATCTAAAAACACACAAAAAAAACAGAAAAACCTCCCGTTTTGCATTATAGCAGATTATCGATTAGGAAAATTACTTCAAATCTGCGTCCAAAATAAGCAGAATTTCTTGGTGAATGTTATCTAAACTGTACCAGGTAACCAGGTGTGTAGCAGACTGGAATCCTAACAAAACATCTAGTGAACAGCGGTCAGTATGAGTTTATTAAAAAAAGCAAATTGTTTTCATCATAAGCTGTCAGGCACAATTTGAAGCAACAAAATGAGTCAAGATACAGACATCTGAAATGGTTCATCCTTTAATATTTCATAAAATACACACGTAAAATAAGATATACTGCATCTTAAACTCTAAACCTGCTGCACATATTAACTTCCTGCGGGATAATTTTTTACGACAAAGTCCTGCACCTCAGTGGAAACAGAAGCAGAGAGAAATCAGAAATGTCTTCTGTGCAGGATGACACAGAATGGTGTAAATCATTAAAAACAGAAAGTTGAATTTGTTTGATTACCATAATGTCCGGACTATAAGCCGCTACTTTTTTCAAATGCTTTGAACTCTGCGGCTTAAACATTTACGCAGCTAATTTATGGATTTTTACGAGTTTGCCTCGAGACCAAAGTGACACTGAGAGCGACAGAGAGACTGAGGAAGTGACGAAGTGATTCTGAGGTTGTTCAGCTCCTGAAGACACTGAAGAAGACGACTTCAGTGGTTTTAGTGCAGGAGGAAGATGAAGATAGCGATCAATGACTTTTCCTGGTAGCTGCTGGAGTTTTATTTCCTCAACCAGCCGTGTTACAAGAACTGTTCAGAAAAAAGCAGCTACGGTGTTTGTGTATGTTAGCGTACGTATTTAATTAAAAGTTAAAACATCTTTCTGTGTAAATATCTCATGTTCCAACGTGGACACCTGCAGCTTAGAGACCAGAGCAGCCTGTATATGTACACACCTGGTTTTCTTTTTAAAGTCAGTGGGTGTGGCTGATATTCAGGTGCCTCAATAGTCCAGACTTTACGGTATTTCTTTAATTAAAAATTGGGGGGAAAAATTGAATCCACATGTATATTTTTCTACAGTGTCCACAGATGTTACAATCGAAAAAATGGCGAAATGCCGAAGATATTTTACTATTTATTATTTCAAACCCAGTCTTCACGTCATCTGAAAAATCCCTGATTTTTTAGTCACATGACCGTCGGTTGCAGTTGAGTCACTCACGGCTTCTCGGTTGCACCAAAGATGGCAGAATTTTTCGTTTTTTTACAAAATCTAGATGCCACAAATGGTTTATTTTGGGCAAAGTCTTAAATTAAACATGTAGAATTGTATTTTAATAAATAAATACAACTTTTTTTTTAGCTCAGATTTGGATGTTTTTACTGGAAGAAGCCAACGTTACACATGATTAATTTGAGAACTGTTGGAAAATCCTTGTCTTTCTGTGATAAATGATGTCATTTTGGTGATTTTTAATAGAATAATAAGCCTTCCAATCCTGCCAGTGGGTAAATTGTGAGTTAAATTACTGTGTTTTTATCAGTTTCTCATCACCAAACCCCAAATGTTTCCTGTTTCAGGCTGGAATCTTCCCGCCTACCTCTCAGTGCTCATAGCGTTCGGGAACCTCGGCCCCATCGCGGTGACCGTCACCCACCACTGCGCTCCGGGACGCTTGAACGAACGCCTGGTCATCCACTGCATCCAGCTGCTGGCCGTGGTGGCGTCGGCCTTCCTCGCCGTCTTCTGGTCGCACACCGTGGTGGTGGCGGGAGAGAAACGCTCGCTCCCCTTCCTGCTCTTCACCTTCGTGTTGTCTCTGGTCTGCTGCACGTCCAACGTCACCTTCCTGCCCTTCATGTTCCGCTACCCGCCCCAGTACATCCGCACCTTCTTCATCGGCCAGGGCCTCAGCGCCTTGTTCCCCTGCGTCGTGGCGCTGGGGCAAGGCGTCAACAAGCTGGAGTGCAAAACGGTGAACGGCACGGTGCACCCGGAGTATTTAAAGGTGAACTTCCCCGCCCAGAACTTCTTCTGGTTCCTGTTCGTGATGCTGTCGGTGTCGGCGCTGAGTTTTCTGGCGCTGACTCGAAGACAGAAGCAGCCTGAGGGCGAGGCGTCGCCGCCGCCGCAGGAGTCGGACAGCGCGGCAGCAAAGAACGGCGAGGAGACCGAGCGGCTTCACAACGGAGGGACGCCGGTGTCCGAGGATCAGGTTCGGCTGGAGGAGCAGCAGCCGCCCGCTCAGACCTTCTGGACGCCGCGAAACATCTACCTGCTGGCGCTGCTCGCCGTCTCCAACGCCCTCAGCAACGGCGTCCTGCCGTCCATCCAGAGCTTCTCCTGCCTGCCCTACGGAAACATGACCTACCACCTCTCCGTGGTGCTCGGCAACATCGCAAACCCCCTGGCCTGCTTCCTGGCCATGTTCGTCGTCCTCAGGTGAGACCCAGCATCTGCTAGAGCTCATTTATTTTGATTTTTGTTTTATTCCATCTCAGATCATCACACTTCTAGAGTTTCTGCTCGACCGCTCGATTTGCCAGAATTTTTTGTAGCACAAAATAAGAATATTGGTGAAATTTTAGCTTAATCTATTAAAAACTGTCTGAGATATAAATATATTTTTTTAAATGCACTTTGACCCACTTTCCACATTCTTCCACACGTTGAAATTTAAAGCTATGTTTGGATGACAATATCTCACAATCATACAACACATGTCGAATGCTTTTTTATATATGAAATACTTGGTCGCAATAATTAAAAGGTTATTGGAAGTTGAAGTCAAAAGGGTCATGCTATTTTCTTAGAATAATTTCTGCTCGACCATCTCTGATTGGCCTAAAATTTGTAAAACACAAAACATGGATATTTATAAAGATGTATTTGAAATTTCACATTAAAATATCAAATGCTTTCTAGGATATTTTCTTTTTAAAATCTGCCCACTTTCAGCAGGTTTTTTTCTCACATTGAACAACATCTCAGCAATTATTAAAGATAAAACCCTGAAATTTTCTCTGTTATTTCTCATCATGTCATTGGTTCAGAATCTGCAATATTGGACAGAAAGATCAGAAATTCTTAGATTACGGGTGAGTTGAAATGTGAAAAGATTGAAGCTGTCACGAAAAGTCTCATGTTTAAGCTCATTAATGAAAAAACTTGATAACGCACGGATCAACTGGGGATATTTTTTGAGCCGTACGTAGCTTCACGTCACAATAAAACAAAACTAAACTTGTAGAATACTTTTATTATGAAATGCTTGGTCACAAAAATGACAATGAAGTTATTTTAATTGAACTGTCATGAGCAGGGTTGACAAGTTGTACCGAAAAAACAAAAATGTTGGGAGATGGTCTGATACCAGTAGAACAGAGTTAATAATAATAATAATAATAATAATAACATTGTCATTAATACAGCCTTAAATGTGCAAAAAAAAAAGCTGAAAGAGGGTCAACAGGCAATATTCAAAAATGTTTATCTCTAAAAGTGTTTGAAATGTCAAGATAAAATTTTACACGTATCATTTTAAATATCTGTAGTTTACGATTATAAGGTTTCGAGGAAACCAGAAGTAGTCAAGCGGAAGGAACCTGATCATTTGAGATGGAACAACCTTTTTATTAAAACTCTCCTTCTCGGTAATAATCACAAACCTTGTCCTTCAGGTCCTCCTCAGGTTTGGGCTTCTTGTCCGTGGCTGGGCTGGTTTTTGCTGCGTATTTGATGGCGTTGGCGGCTCTCAGTCCCTGTCCACCGCTGCTGGGAAGCAACGCTGGTGTGGCTTTAGCGGTGAGTGGAAATGTTCACCGTTTATGTTTGTATTCTTTTATTCTGCTGCAGGTTTAAACACATGTTCTGGTAGATTAGTCATAGCAACTGAACTTGCTTGAGGTCCTTGAAGACGTTAGTACGAGTCGTTAGTACTCCCCCATTGTGGCAGCACTAACGACTCGCATAACGAGGGGGAGGAGCAACAAACCCCTAATTGAAACCCAAACTCAGGTGTTAATGGCTCCTTAAGGATATAAGTATCTGTAACTCCCTACTAGTCAGTCAGATCTGATGAAGCCTCTTGGATGAAACGTCTTCAAGGAACTCAAGCAGATTAAACTACGAAAAGAACCACGACCTGGATGACTGAGAATCTCCACAGACATTAAAACACATGAGTGTCACCAAAACAATGAAACCCTAATCCTTTTTATTATATTAGGCACGTTTGTGTGGAGCATTTCTACAAGGAGGCAGTTCAAAGTGCTTCACATAACAGGCATCGAGACAAAATGTTAGAGCAACGTCAGGCAATGTATTTTTCAAAAACAGACACTGTTCGACACAATTAAAAGAGGAATAAAATGTAGGATATTCAAAAGCCTCAGACAAAAACTCGTGTTATTGCAGAAGTGAATGTTGCAGCAGATCTGCAGTTTTCTGGGAGTTGGTTCCAGATTTGTGATGCGTAGAAACTGAAAGCTGCCTCTTTGTGTTTCCTTCTAACCTCAGTGACAGAAATCAAACCTTTACCAGAAGATCTGAGAGCAACATAGCAGCAGCTCAGAGATGAAACACTCACACTGGATGAATAAGAATCAAAACTGGCATCTGATTAAAGTAGGAATAACAATAAGATTATACGTTTGATGACAGTTTTTACAGACAAGAGCTGCACGATTAATTAGATATTATCCACAATCCCGACTTTAACTTCCTGCAAGTAAATCAACACGATCAGCTGCGACATTAACATTTAAACTGTGTGTTCTGCTCACAGGAAACTCTGTAAATCTGACGTTAGAAAACCTCATTTCACTCTTTTTACAGTAATTTCTGAACTGCTGCAGTAACTGATGGAGACCAGAGGCGTCTCGGTGCACAGCTACGGGTTAATATTGCTAAAAGTCTGTTTCTAAGAATGGTGCAGTTATATTTATGTTTTGCGTGTAGGCAGTGAACTGAATACAGGTGACGAGTATTAAAAATGATGCAAAGAATTAAAGTCAAACTAACACAAAACATGTAGAGAAAGCAGCGCTGCGTTTCTGTAAATGTTAAAGCACCATGAAATGGGAATAATTATAATAAATAATCATGCATCAACCGATTCTCCATGTTGAACCCTAACAGGTACACAAGATTTCTCAGGCTTTTTTTTTTGTTTGTTTTGTTTTTTTAAAGCAATCTGACGAGATGGAGGGAAAATCAAAACATTTTAGTTTCAGGTTTTCGCTTATTTATATTTGTTTCAGATCTTTTTTGAGTTTCATGTATTTTAATAGTGATGATTAAGCCATTAATCAGTCGACCTTTATTTTAATGGCACGTTTAAATCATCTTATTGCAGTTCAAAGTGCTTCACAGACGACTGATAACAATAACAGTGAACAAGTGTAGATTATATAAGGATAGATAACAGGTTATAAACTACATAACAAGACAATAAACTGTGATAAAACTACATTTAAAAAGGCATAGAAATACAACAGACAACATAAAAACAATGACATAAACGGAATCAAAAGTGATGGACGGGTTTTAAATGCAAGTTTAAAAAGTTTACTGTTGATGGTTTAAAGGTAGATGTGAGCAATAAACACCATAAATAGACACAAGCAGTGATCGTTCATTCACTGGCTGCTACTTGTTTTACTCCACTAAACCCTGTTCAGCTTCTCGTCTTACCTGCTGTGACTCTGTGCTTGCGCCCCCTGCAGGTCGTCTCCTGGATCGTCTTCACCGGCCTCTTCTCCTACCTGAAGGTGGTGATCGGGACGCTGCTCCACGAGGCCGGCCACGCCGCCCTGCTGTGGTGCGGCATCTCCATCCAGGCCGGCTCCCTGGTGGGCGCCCTCACCATGTTCCCCCTGGTGAACGTCTACCACGTGTTCTCCAGAGCCCAGGAGTGCGTCGACACCTGCGGTCCCTGAAGTACGTTTTCTCGGCAGCACAGTTCTCGGCCTTCCTGGTGGGAAGCGACCGCTCTGACCATTGTTCCTTTGCTTCCTGAGAGAAGCTCTTTCTCTGTGTTATTTTTTATTTTTTGTGGAGGATCACGCCGCAGATTCCCCGCTCAGAGGCCTCCGAGCCTGCGGACGCGATAACATTCCCAGACAACGGGAGCGTTGTACTGCTGCATGCTGGCCGAGGGGATGTAAAAACACGTATGATGCAGTGAAACCACAAGTGCTTTGTGTGGAGTTTTATAAGGAGGCTCTGTAGCTGGAGTTGTTTACAGATTACAGACGGATTTCCCCACAACAACACATCATGTGAAGCTGTTTGCTCAGGGACCATGAACTCATTCATCGCTCGTATCGTTTGTTGCTCCTGAGCCTGTAACTCCGGTGGTGGGCGATCGGGCCTAAGGAGAACTTCTGAACCTCGTCGAACCCTCAAATCTCCTAGTTTGATTTTATTCTCTAAGTTCTGTGGCAGTGATTTGCGTCTGTGCAGCTTTGAAAAAAGTATAATCTTAGCTTAGCATCAGGAAGGATTCTACAAGTAAGTTGTTTTTCCTGTACTGTTGAGTATTTCTCAGCTCCTTCACGTCTTTTGAGACTCTCCGGTTGGACTCCAGCTTCAGTAGTCCTCGTTCTGTTCTCTGGAAAACCTCCTGCATGCTGGAGGTCCAGTCCAACCAGAACCTGGAAGCTCACCGAGGCCGCCGAGCACCAGCGTTGGCTCACGTCCAAGCAGCTGACTGGTGGAGGTTGAGTCTGTCTGCAGAGGCTGATAAACAGCGACCTGGTCGACTTTAGCTGCGTTCTAAATCGTATGTTTGTCCTTTTTAGTTTCACTACAGCTGCAAACTACAAACTGTTTCATGCAGCACAAACATGTTTCAACTAGAAATAAACTCCTAAAGTCAACTTTTGACAAACTTTGTTTATACTTTCTCTACTGCCCTTAGTTATTACACTAGCGAGACGGCCATTTTCCTTTTAATCTTTACTAAAAAACGTACACTAAGCTCCCGTCATGATGCAGTCTGTGAGATTAATCTGAAAAGCAGAGAGTTAAATTGCTAAATTTAAGGTAAAGTCTGCGATTATAACTCAATGCACATTGATTATCTGTAGGGCTGGACCCGAACATCCGAATATTCGGTCGCTGTGGTGGTAATTTAGAGATCCGAATATTCATCTGGCGCCACTTGTAGCTGCACAGGTCTAATGACAGAGGCCACGCTTCGTACTGATGTCAACGGAGGTTTATTCTTAATTCTTCTCTGTCTGTCCCTTCGGCAAACACCGCGTAACACCGTGAAAGCTAGACACAATAAACAAATGCACATCAAAAACAGACATTTGGGGGCGCCGCTATAGCTCACCTGGTTGAGCCGGTGTCCCATGTGCAGGGCTACAGTCCCAATGTGGAGGTCATGAGTTCAAATCCCACTCATGGCCCTCTCCCACATGTCCTCCCCCCATTCCTCTCCCCCACCTTCCTGTCTCTCTCTCACTACAATATCCAATAAAGGCACAAAGGCCAAAAAAATAACTTGGGAAAAAAAAAAAACAACAGACATTTGTGGATCTTTCAGTCTCTCTTGTTAGCATAATCAGTGAACAGGCTCGGTCAGTTAGAATACAAACACACCACAGAAACTGTATAATATTGTTCGCGCAAATCAAACCACATTATACATGAAATATAAACCAACAGATAGTTACCATACGCGCCTCTCAGACCACATGCAGAATGGCGATAACTTGCGCTACGTGTCTCTGGTGCATCCCGTACCGGTTCTGACCCACAATGCTGCTCTCTTGACCTCACTAAAGGTCAGTCATGTGACCTGACTTATCAAAATAAAAGTCTGATGCAGAGTACCTAACTTTTTAATTAAAACTGGATTTTAAAGTGACCTATTTTTTAACAATCTGTTACCATTTGTACCCTTTTCAATTTATTACATTTTTGATCTCAGTTTTTAATTATCTATGAACAATAAAACAATGAATTGACAAACATAAATTATACACATCACAACCTGTCTCTTAGACAGTTGGTGGAAACAGAACCGGGACCGCTACCCTAAACAAGCATTAGCAGCCAAATGCTGCCTGTGTGCTCTGCCCACTTCCACCCCGACGAGTATTCGGATATTCATCATTAAATGGGCCCAAATATCTGGAGCCCAGAAATTGCTATTCGGTCCCGCCCTAATTATCTCCTCACGGTTCGTTCTGTGCTGCAAACTCATTTGATATTTGTGCCGTGCTTGAGCCTAAACATATACAAGAGGTGAAGTGAGCGTGACAGTTAATCTATCCTTTGCTAACGAGTTAAATGAGCTAAATACCGACGGCTGCACTGTTTAAGATCGTCTACGACACGAGGTCGTCCGATCGCCCACCACCAGCCCCCACCGAGAGGACAACGGTTTTTATTTTTATTTTCACGGACGGTTTTTCGATGTCTGGCTACCTCTTCCTGTTTAAGCAACAGACTCATATTTCCATGAATTAGTCAGAAACACGCTGATGAGGTCAGTATAACAAATCTGTTGGATTTATTTTATTTTATTTCTAACAGAAGCTCTTAGTTCACAGCTGCAGCGACATTCCTTTGATTTTGATGCCAAAAAACTATTTCTGCCTGAAAAATGTTGAGCTGTACAAACACTTCCTGTTTGCTTTAAATGTTCATGTTGTTGGGTAATCCTGTTTTTGTTTGTTTTAAATTTATCAGTGATATTTCCAGTTTTGTGATGATTTTAAATGGAGTTTAGTGTTTCGTGGTGCTTTTGTTTTTGTTTTTTGTTTGTGGTTTTTTTTACAGAGATCCCTAAAGGTCACTGAACAGCCAGTTGATCCAGTTTGGTTATAACACAAGACCAGTTTGAGAAACACTCTGCGGATACAACAGAAACGAGAGACGCTTTATGTGATGCACTTGTTGCTCGTTGTTTACTTCAAAAGGCCCAATCTGACGGATTCTAGCTGTGATGGGGAAGCTGCTAATCTGCTGGTTGTTGTTCACATTTCTGCTGCTTTGGATGCGTCCAGCTGTTACCACTGTAACCTGCTGGTATCCCTAAAAACTAACCCAGTATGCAGTAAACATATACTGCACGACCACGAAGCCGCTCAGGAAGAAAACACATTCTGTCTGTTAGCAAAATCATTCCAGAGCTTCTGCAAAGGGCCTTGAAGAGAAGTGGTGTGTTAGTAACGATAGTCGGATCCTCTGTGAAAACAACTTGAACGGTTTCTCAACAAGCATGACGCCACTTTAAAAAAAATAAATAAACAAAAATGCCAAAATACAGTAAGGCTGGACCCCAACATCTGAATATTTGGTCGTTGTGGTGGTATCCAGATATCAGTTATGTGACCCGAATATTCGCCCGCCACCCCATCACCCCCATTGTTGTGGTGGTATCTTGATATATATTAGCCCGCAAACCACCCTCCGCTGCCACCACCGCCGATGATGGAAACACTGCTAACCCAAGCTAGCATTAGCATCCAAATACTGCCTGTGCGTTCCGGCCGCTTCCACCCGGTCGGTGCGCTCCAACCCGTTGGCACCCCCCCGACCGTGCAGAATATTTGTATATTCGTCATTAATTGGGCCCGAACACCCGTAGCCCAGAAATTGCTATTGGGACCAGCCCTAGAATACAGTTTGCAAAGTACATGGGGAGGAAAATGGTAACTTTTTGTAGAAATCTCGTGTGGTCTGATGAAACAAATGGCTGATGACTGTCGATATGAGAAAGAAGCACGGTGGTGGCAGCATCATGCATTAATATGTGTGGTCCAGATTTGTTTGTTTTTAGTGTTATTACTATTAATCTGTTGGTATTTATCTCAGAGAATATAGAATCTGGCGAAGAAAACCCACAAAGAAACTGCTGTCATGGCACCCGTTGTCTCTAGTTGGGGTTTTAGCGAACCGGTTTACAAAAAGAAAGAAAGCCTGGAGGCGTCCAATCCCTCGGCTGGATTTATCCGTTAAACCAGCAGCTGCTCATCGACTGAGATCGTCCCGTTAAAATGAACAATAAACAGTAAATACATCGACTGTTGCATCAACGTTCTCTTCTGTTGCATCCATAAGGTTTCTCTAAACTGAACGTATGTTTAAAAATCCTCCTCAGTAAGTTCCCGCGGTGACCTTTAGGGGTTCTGATCTTTTTATGACTTTTTCTTGTTGATTTTTTTTTTTTTTTTTAAACTAATTGTCCTGTACCGTGATTAGACATGAAAGCGGCTGAAGGCGAGGAAACGTCTGTTAAACAATAAAGATCGTTAAAGACGTCGTAAAGCTCCTTTTGTTTTAGGACGTCGAGGAGGAACTGTTCAGCTTTTCCTTCCCTGCATTGTCGGCTACAGGATCAACGCTGATTCTGGCTCTGATCCAGAACCGTAAAGCAGCACCGACCCTAGATGTACATCAAGTCTTATAATTTTAGGTGGAACCACATCTGTTTATCCAACAAGAGCTCAAAGCTGCTTCAGCATCACTGGTCGGACTGACCCACTTTATCAGATCCACGTGTGAAATCGAACACAATCAAACAGCTTTGCCGTCGATTCTCCTTTTACAAAGCTTTTAGTTTTTGGTGAAAAAGGACGACAAAGTTTCTAATATTGTGGCGACGCTGTTAACAGATGGTCGGTTAAATACCAGGAACACTTGTACACCACCTCAATGGTAAATATAAAGTAGAATTAGAACCTTTTTGACAACAAAAACTGGAAATGTGAACGTTTGGTCAAAGTAGACTTTATGTTCGAGCTGCTGTGTCGGTTTAAGTCGGTTCGTTTTATATACATCTAATAAATTTCCAAACTTGTTTCTCTACTTTCACACAAAACACCGTCACAGATTCACCATCAATTATTATCTAGTGGAGATGTGACCTATAATGTTGTATAAAACACAATAACCACCTGATAAATGTAAATATTAAGGTTTTATATATATATAGATACACTGCAAGACCAGTAATATTTATTCTGTATATTTATGTGACTAAATGTTGGCAAATTTCACTACCAAGGCTTAGACAGTAAATAGTTATAATAAAATGTACCTCACTCGTTTGAATATTAAGACACTATTCTTTATTAAACCAATTTAAATATTACGTCTCAGAGCGTACAGAATAATTAGTTGTATAAATTTACCTGAATAATTTAAATACTAAGGTTAAGATCATGTTGTTTGTTATAAAAATGTTCCTAATTGATTTACATGTTTAATTTAAAACCCTACAATGTTATGAATTATATACATTAACCCAACAAATGTTAATGTTCAGGGTGAGATCATTAATTTACATTTAATTTATTATACAAACTTATCAGACTAAATATTAAGGCCAAGCT